ATATATATATATATATAATAATTTTTACACTCAGCCTGTCGTAGCAGAAGATCCAGCCGACGAGCTCCTTTTCATTTTTCCCCGGCTTAGTTAGCGGTTTGCACCAAAGAGGAGCACTAAAAGAATAGCAAGCAGAAGAGTTGGCAATGTACAAATTTCAATTAAGGTTCCTCAATCACCCTCATTGTCTGCTAGAACTGATGACAATAGGATGAGCAGCCTCCAAAGTACTGTAATCAGTCTCATCATCTTCTTCGTCGGACGAGAGCAGGGACGAACCCATCCATGTCTTAAAACCTTCGTTAACTCGCCTCTGGACATCAGGGGTGACTTCTATCGAGGATTCGAGCATTTCCAAGCCAAGGTTTCGACCACCATAGTTACCCTCGTCAAGGACGGCGGCGGCTTTTCTCTTGAGAAAGAAGGCAGTGCCGCTGTATAATATTACTAGGCCCCAGGCAGATATCTCGTAGCACCAGAAGAGAGGAATGGAGCAGCTACTTCCCAGAGTGAGAAGACTGGAGCCAAGAAATAGGGATAGAAGACCAAATATTGCAGCAAATACAACATTGAGAATAAATAAGCAGCGGACACCACCTGCAACATAAAGACCAAATATATGAAGGATGCATATTACTTGATGTGAAAACACAAAGGGAAATTTACGTGCATATATTTACAGATCTAACCCCTAAAGTTTGATATTTATACTTATAAGATCATGGTGTCATAAACATAAAGGGAAATAAGCCGTGCTCGCCCAGTTCATGCCGTGCTACTGGAACCGAGTGGAGCATCTCGCTGCAGAAGGAATCCAGAGGTGAAACTGGGGATCGCGATGCTTCCTATGAATTCATTCACCCTCATGATTAATCCCAACCCTTCGTAAAACATCCAATGGCTAAGAATCGTGAAATAGGTCGGCTGGGAACAATGACGGGATTAAGGGTAGAAGATTAGGATTAATTAAATTTAACTAAACTTATAACTTCATAATTTTATATCTTCTAATTTGTTCAAAAATTCATTTATAGTGCTACATGGCAAATTGATAGATTCGAAGTGTACAATTTTATAAAAGTGCTTTGGTTGAATTTCAAGGAATGCTAAATTTAGGGTATGTTCTAAAATTATCAAATTGTACCTGTAATTGCTAAAATCTGAGCATTACATTCTATACCTAATCAAGTTCACTAAGTCCTAATCTCTTACCCTTTTTAGTACTTTCAGTTTATCATTCACATTTTTTGTCAAAAATACATGATTTCCAATTCTATGTACCCTTCATTTGATCCTCTATAACTTCTATGCTGATCTCTTGAATCTAACGACACAAAGTTACAGTTTCTCCATATATCAATGCTTTCAAAATTCCTTCTACAATGCCCAATCCATGGTAACCCTTCTCCACCTCAGTCAAATTCCACATTATTCTCCTTCATAAAACTATAAGTTTATAGAAATATAATAATTTTGGATATAAATTATTATTATAACCATAATAAAAATCACTAATCCTATAATTCATATAAGTGTGTGATTTCCAGCATGATCTGAATAAAAAACATTGCTATGATAAGAGGCATCAGATATCACAATCTTTATATTTCAGACCATAATACCTACAATCACATTCATTTTTAAGTACTCGTCACAAGCCTTATATTTCTCATGAAAAGTATTATAATGATAGTTATAAAGAACAACCATCAATCAAAAATATAGAGGAATCGTACACATTCTTTGTTAAATATCACCATCAAGTATATAACATGGAATAATTCTAGTAGGCAACTTAAATTAAAAGAACAACCATAATTGGCATCATTAATAATTCATCGTCGGCGCAAGCCTCCCTATATATAAAGGAAAACAAACTTCAAAATAAAAATGAGATTATCTTTATATTTTTTATATTTAATACAGGAAAAAATAAAGCAATATTTAGCACAAAATAATAAGTACTATAAAGTCATGAAACTAATAATACTTGATTCCTTTTTAAATTGATTTAACTTTGTGATTGGCCTATAAGAAACTCAGCATGTATGAGCTCAAATGCCGGAAGAGTAAATCAAAATAATAGATATTAATCACTTATTCATTTAAATGATATGCTCCTAGAGTTAAATTTAAAGCTGGAAAAAAAATTAGAATGGATTTTCACAATACTTTCTTAATGACTTACAAGCCGGTTGCAAAAGTTTTATGTCAACAGTAGAAGTCATCTACAACAAAGAGATAGGGTTCCTACAAAGAAATTGAGGGGATAAATTTTTTTCTCCTTATCTTCGAGAGAGAAAAGAGGGACACCCTGATAATTAAACCAAGACAAGTGTTGAGGAGAGAGAAGCTCTAGTAGGCCTTAATCTAGACTTTGTAGGAAGGAGTTGTTGAGAAAAATATTCAATTACTTTAAGCTTTATATGTAGGTCCTAAAGCCTCCTATTTATAATAAAATAGAGATGAATTTATGTCTATCCTTAATTTCAACTAAACACATTATTTTAAGAATCCTTATCCTAAACTTCCAATATCCATTAAAAATACAAATAGCCTGCCTTAATACAAATTTAAGCTAACGGATAAGAAACACACTCATCTCAATGCTTAAACATGAAAATAATGATAATCATATTTTAAAAGAAGAGAATATTCCCCAAGATTTCTTCTTAAAAGCCTGTTCACTACTTATAATAAGGGAAGATTTTATAGAGTGAATTTAGGATAGTTTACTTAATTCCATCTAGATAAAACTCCCCCCATCTTAATTTGGTCATCTTTCCAATTTTTGAAACTTAAAATGCAACTATGCAATTTAGCCCCTTTTTTAATTGCAAATTTTCCTTCCAAATTTAGTCTTGCATCTCTTCTTGAGAACCTTTTGGATTACAACACCCTTTTCCATTGCTCTCATAATACAATCAATCTTAGAACAGTGATAACCAAGAAATAAGATACATTTTACAATGTTTATCTTAATTAACAAAAACATTTCTTATCCAAACCATAACGCTTGCATTGCTCATCTACCACAAAATGATCATTCTTGTTAATATAATCCATCCCCACATAATTTATTTTGGCAAAACGTATTTACATAATGCTCAATCTTCTAGCAAGGTTGGCATATTTTGATTTATCATAACTTGGTCAACACTGATTGAGGCAAAAGTCGAAGCACAAACCCAAGCAATGGATTGCACCTATATTAAAGAAATAATAAAGAAAGAGTTTAGCTTTTCTTCCTCCTTTTAAGTAACTGCATAAAAATAACATGCCTTCGTTAAATCCATCAAACTCGCCAAATATCATGTACGGACTTGCGTACATAGCAACTGTTATATGATACCTAGGGTCAAGTCATTACTCATTCATCCTCTTGGTTTGGATAAGAAATATTGTTGTATGATATTTCTTTTGTCTGTTGATTAAAAGATGTCAAGCATGGCCTTTTTAAATATCCTGGAAATATTGATACTAATCTGCATCGATTCATGGCTCCTGTCCAATGCATGAGTTCGTCTCCATAAAAGCCCTAGACATTGCTTTAATCTAACATAAGCCATTATGAAATTGTGCTGGTTGGATCTAGTGCTCTAATGCTAAAATATAATCTAGAATCAGGTATGAATGGCTTATGAAGCTGATGGGAATTATCTAAGTCAGTAGGGTTTCTATGAAGAGTTAAAGGGATTCAGTTGATTCTCCTAATCAATAGAGAGTAGAGAGTGTGGGCAAGCAATTTAATTAATTGTTTTAAGCATTCGAATTATGGATAGCTTTAAAACTAATTTAATTTAATGGATAAGGCACCCTTATCTTAATATTTAAAACAAGAATTGAAGTAAACCATAGCTTTAATTAAAGAAATATTCTCCTAGACCTTTCAATTGGAGCTGATTGCCTACTTAAAATGAGGAGAATTTTCTAAATTAATTTCATGATAGTTTCTTTTATTCACTTAACATAAACCTCTCTTCATCCAAATTTAACCACCTTTTATTATTTTTGACAATAAATTACAATTTCGTCACCCTTTTTCTTGGTTTACAATTCTGTCCTTCAAAAGTTAAACTGCCAAATTTTCTCGACACTCCTAGATCATTTAAGAAGAAATAAAGTGTAATTTCATTTGTTGATCATGCTGAATACAACAATTTTAATTTATTTTATGAGAGGAATATGAGATAAAATGTGAATAGGAAATTTATACTTTATTCCACAACAATATATGATTCAGTGAAACCAAACTAATGATTTAAGGGGATAACATTTCATTCTTTATAAAGCGAATGTAGTAAATTCAACATGAAATATTTTACGTTAAAACATGAGCAAGTAATAGCTATTGGTTATGAAGGGATTATGGTTGTTTTGGGACATAGGATGGATAGTCATGCTAGATGAGGAAAACAATACGGTATTTCATAGAACAGTGTAAACAATAATAAAAGAAAATAAAAATAGTGAGCAATTGCTATAAGAAATGGAAGAATATTTAATTTTACATGCAGGGCTATCATAACACAAAACAATATCCAAATGGAGCGTAAATACTAGTAATATGTGCTATGATGGAAACTCGTGAATAAAATAGATGATAAAAATGAGATCAATAAAACTAAATTTGATTTCACGCTGATATTAGTTTCAGCACCAACAAACTCTAAGGGTAGAACTACCACATTAAAAAAAATACATTATTTTTGACTAAAGGCTTATTTGTTTAGGTGAACATTGAAATCCTTATTAATAGAAATGGCCTATAGTTAAAAATGATGAAATTGAAATTCAATCTATTTGTTTGATTTGGCAAGGTTCGGATGATAAATTTTAAACCACCCTTTTCTTTTCTTTATTTCAATAGATGTCATCCTCCATTATAGTTTTACAATTACACGGTTTTCTTATAATTGAAGTTGCAGTTGGGGGAACACCAAAATTGTGGGGGGTTGCCAGAGATTGGTGGCATCACATTTAAACTAGTACTAAAATTCTGGAGAGATAGAAAAATTGATGGAGGCCACACAAAGCTTCGTAAACATTGCGAGAGCGAGAGCTCTGAAACGTTAAATCAAAAGCCTGGGTAGACCTCATTGAGCCTAACCACAGTCATCAATGGCTTGCCTGATCATATTAAAGCTCAGTGATCTCTTGCGAGTTCATTGTGATTATGTTCTCCTTGTGTGCGAAAAGCAAAATCTTATTTTTGAGTGGTTTATGGTGTTCAAAATTACGAATAGCATCTACTAGGATGATATTTTAAGTTCAAAGGTATGATGACTAATTACAACCATCATTTTATAGGTGCGTTCTGCCCGCCAGCTCACGCTCTTCTAGCTATCTATTTCCCTATATATGTATATGCATATGTGCATGTATGTATTTATATATGTATGTATCTTTGTGTCTGTATTCACACATGTATTGAGTTGACTCAAAATATCTTTTGAGTTGCCATACTGTGTTGACTGCATGGGCTTATATGTCTCATATGATGATTGATACCGGAATTAACCCAAATTGCAATAGAAAAAACAAATATTATTTGTGAAAGCAAAAAGGCGATTACAAACACACACACTTGAAAATAAAAATTACAACAAAAATGACACAAACTCATACTAGGGCTCAATCTATGGGTGGTGGAAGTTGGCTATGTGTCGGGGAAAGGAGGTAGGTGGCTGAAATGGGTTGTGGGTTCTTGGGACAGCAAGAGCGGCTGGAATTGCATTGATAGAGAAGCAGAGGGCGGGGACAGCAAGGGACAGTTGAAGGGAAAGGGCTGTGGACTGCAGAACAGCAAGACAAGTGCTGTCCGGCGTGGGAGCAGCAAGCAAGGACTGCAGGGAAAGCAGGATATGCTGCGGTCCAAACGACAGAAGCCGAAATGATGGTTGAACAGCAGATTTTCTGTTTTCAAGATGCAGGCAGTGAGAATCAGTGACCGGAAGGGACGGAAGCAGGAGGTGGATGGTGGAAGGAGTTGCAGGAAAACAGCCGGAGTATCAGTGACCGGAAGGGACAGAAGCAGGAGGTGGACGGTGGAAGGAGTTGCAGGAAAACAGCCGGAGTGCTGTCCAGTGGTTCCGGCAGCGGAAAGGTGGTGGTAGCAGTGAGCGGAAGAATGCAAAGGATGAAAAGGTCGGAGATAAATAATCCCACGTGAATGAGCTAAAGCCGGAGCACTACCTGCCTTTGGATACAGCCTTAGAAGGGAGAAAGAGGACGCTAACGGCTGTCCTGAACAGAAACACGAAAAAGCTCCCTTAAACTCAACAAAAAGCATATATATAATATATAAAACAAGAGTAAAGAGGAGCGGACCCATGCTCCAAGTAGGAGAAAACTCCATGTTTGAAAGGACTGGTCGATCCCTCCCAAGGCCTGGACCGAACCGGTTTTGCCGAAACTTTTGTTGCACTCGTGACTTTTGTCGCATCTGCGACTTCTGTCACGTTTGGGGCACGAGACGCCCAACGTCAATGATGGTATCCATAATTTGATTAACTAAATCAGTGTGATGTTTGCCTGTTTCATAGGACAAGTTTTGGTGCACTCACAACTTAGAGATAAGCTCATGTGCAAAAAACAAGCCCAAAGATGTACTATGTTGATCAAAGATTTAGGTTCTTAAACCTAAATTGACAGTAAAATTTAACAAAAATTCAGAGGTGATAAAAACAAAAATAAAATGAATTTATTTTAGTTATACTTATTCTAAATACATTTTAGATATCATAAATTTATTTCAGTTTTTAATTTTTTTTTATACTGATTATCTAATTATTTGATTTCTTTTAATTTATTAACTATGTGAAAATTAATTAATCAACTACATCATTTGTAATTGTATGCATAAATTATTCATATTTATAATCTTGACAACTTAATATTTTATCAACTTATCCAACATTTCCTAACAATTTCGATACAGTAGATATTTATTTTTTAATTAGGTTACTTATGAGTTAATTAAGTAATTAAGTTACGTATAATGAATTTAGGCTTGAAGTTAATAAGTTATTCATATGCAATCTAATACGTAAAATCTTATATTTATATATAAATTAATTAATTTTTAGTATAATGACAATTTTCATTCCACTCTCATACCCACTAGCAGAGGCACGCAGAGCCTAGCACAGTGAGGCATTGTCGCAACAGAAATTCAACTGCAAAGATTAATAAACATTGCCATTTCGTGGCGTCTTAGGGAGATTTTTGAAAGAGATGTTAATGTTTTTTATGGTTGATTTCTCCACCGTTCAATGTTTTTTTTGGTTGATTTCTCCACCGTTCATAAACTTATAAATGCCATTTAAAATGAGCAGAAACATATCATGGAATTGTAAATCAAAGATTTCTCAAAGATAATATAAATCAAGAAAACTCAAAGTTCATCCAACAAGTTTTCTTCGGATCTCTCCATTCAGAGATCGACTTCAATCTCAAGAATTCTATTATATTGTTTTATATTGTATGTTATACAGTAGTAAAGATTGTGCTATCCTTTATTTTTACTGCTGCCTTCGTTCACCAGAAACAAATTGGAAGACTTAGAAAGGTTTATCATGTACCTTAGCAAGCCTTGAAAGACTTGAAGAAGCTTTGGCTGGAAAGCTTGGGTTGTGGTTTTAATGACAAAGCAAAAAATGGTATAACAATTTCTCATCTAGCTTGATGAGCAAAGGAAATCCTGAACAAAGGTATGCTTATGCATGGATGTAGATCAATTTGATATCGAATCAAATAAAAAAAAAGTGTCCAAATAACCCTGTGATTATATTTGAAGTTTCCGACCTTGGCTCTGTGCCCCTATTTCTATAAATAGGGATCCAGAGATTGTATCATGACCATTAAACATTAATATCAAATGAATAAATTATTTGTACAACCAATTGAACAGTCTCTTGATCTAACTTGTGTATGCAAAATTTTCATCCACCCATCTCCATCACAACTAAATATTAAAAAACTAGAGGCATTTACTTACATAGCACACAATTATAATGCATTTACATATCTAACACCTAAAGTTTCATATTTACGCACATAGCACACAAATCTTTAATATCACATAGAAAAAACATTATTAACACCTTTTAAAAGTGAAATAGAACTTTTCATGTATAAAGTTTAAAGCACTGAAGTTCTATGTATGTAAATATGAAAGTTTAGGTGAACGAAATGTAAATTCATAAGAATTGTGTGTTAGGTATGTAAATTTCCCAAAAACTGAAGTCATACCTCTTTTTGAGGCACAATAATTATTTTCCACAACCTTGAGGAAAATGTGTCTGGTAGGAGCAGCATAAGCAACAGCCATTCCTGAAACATCATATAACTTAAACAAATAATAAGAGAACTATTGCAGAACAAGCGCAAAGTCTTATCAAAAGAAAATTTTGCATTGCATTTAAGTAATTATAATGGAGAAATTAGATGCATTAACAAGGAAAAAGCAGTCTATGGCCATATAAATCAGAAACTTAACCAGAAAACAAGTCCTGTTGTAAAGTGGACATTGCCAGAATGGTTTTTGTGAAAGCCTCTTCCATTACAAGTCCTGTTGTAAAGTGGACATTGCCAGAATGGTTGCCGCCTAGTCTATACCCTTTTTGAATCTTTTGTGAAAGCCTCTTCCATTAGTTCTCTTCTCACCTTTCAACATTTTAAAAATATAATACCCCATAAGGTAGCAGAAGCTGGGAGAAATCCCTTTAAAGCATATGATGTATCAATCAAATCCATAGTGTGAACACGTGCCTGAACATGCTTGAGAAAAAAAAGGAGTGTTGAAAAGTTGGAGAGCTAGGTTATCAAGATGCAAATATTTTAAAAAATGAAATGAAAATAGAGGCATTTACATATTACCACCCAATTCTTATGTATATACATTTCTAACACCTAAACTTTGAATTTTACATTTAAACCACCCAAAGTGTTTTGCATCACACCAAAAATAACACTATTTTAACTTTTTAAAAGTGAAATGCAGTTTCTCATGCATAGGAAAAGTAGCATATTTGTAAAAATTTAATTTAAGGTGTTAGATATGTATATCCATAAAAATTGAGTGATATGCATGTAAATCTTCCAAAAAAATATTCCAGCACCGCCCACAATAGGAAACAGTAAACATTTTGTGGCGTTTAAAAACAATACCCAAGACACCTTATTTAACAGTAAATTAGTAATTAGTATGTAACTAAAAAAAACACTAACAGTTGTACCTAGAATCACTAGTACTGAAAGGTGATTGCTTATGAAATATGAATTCATGAATTTGGATAAGAATAAATTAGGTCCTACAGCAGAGGTTTGTCTAATGCTCCTAAATCTTCTTAAATTGTGATTTAATAACTATAAGTAATGAAAACTAGGGAATATAGTGCCTATATCACTGTACTCACCAGCAATTTCCGGGACCAGCAAACAAAATGTATTTTATGACATAAATAAATATTTGTAGTAATAAAATTTTTTTATTATCCAAATGCTGGAGAATAAGACAATAACAGAATTACAGAATGAAAGAAGTAAATAAAACAAAGGAACACAACATAGAAATTAGAATATCAAACTGATGCTCTAGGAAGTTCTAGTGGTTTGACTGGAATATTTAAAATCCTTCCCTTCATTGAAAATCCTTCCATCCTATTTCAATGATTGGAATCCACCAAAAATAAGCTTGAAATAACATGCTGAAGAAGACTAATTTATCATCCTTGGTAGTAGTTCAAAAGCAAATGTTGTTTCTTTCTCTCCAGATAATCCAAGGAGCAAAAATTAGAAAAAAAATCCTAGATATCTTTCGCACTTACTTGATCCTACTAGGATGAAAATGAAGAATCAAAAGTTAAAATAGCATTTAAAACTCCAAAGGGAGCAAGGGAAATCACATGCAAAGCAATGCTTGAAAAACGAATGTTTATCATCCTCCAAAAGAGAGTTACAAAAGACCAACTATGAAAAAGACTTTTTGATTGAAATCTTTTCTAGAAAAATAGTTCATCCAAAGAAAGCTCATTTTAAGGGAACAACGGCTTGAATATACATTTATAAGAAGTTATAAGAATTCATTCATGCATAAAAAAATAAAAGAAAGACTGATAGAGTAAAGGACACTGGAAGAGTGCATCCACTTCAGATTTAAGAGGATCTTATTGAAAGAATTTTTAGACCACAATGTTGGTGAGAAGATCAAACCATCAGCATCCCACACATAAAAAGAGATCAATTGATCGAACGCCTGATGATCAAGATTAAAAGAAAATTTAGACCATTAATGATGATAAGTATGTCAAAAAAAATGGCAATTCTGGATTTTTTTTTTTTTTTTTGAAAAAAAAATAATTTTTTTTGTGCGATCAGTTAAAGAAATATAAAGTTGCCCGAAAATGATGGAGTTACGGGTAATGTTTGTTCACTATTTGACAGAATATTTTTAAGACAAAATAATGTCAAATTTAAATTACTTCCTTGTTTTCTTTCTTATAAAATACCTATTTCATACACTAGAAAATAATTGTAAATCTCCCAAAATAGTTCCTCTCCAGTCCTCCCAACATAAACTGCAGCAGCCATGTGGTTACTTTGTAAATGCGAACACCATAGCAAGAAAAATCAACGTATTCCCTAACAGGAAACTCTTGCAATCAAGATGAAAGGATTGTGTCAAATCAAACTTGAACTAAACAAATTCCTACTGATTCCAACAGACTAACACAAATCTAGTTCCATATCATAATTCAGTTTCAGAGCCTTAGCTCCAACCCATGGGAAAAAAAGTAGTGAATTATGAATGGGGTAGGATACTCTTGGCACTTCTATGAAGACTGAGTACTACTACTATGAGGAGAGCTCGCATAGAATTGACGCTCTCCTAAATCTAAAAGAGGAGTCAGTGAAGTAAATAGCTGATTAGATGGTCACAATAGTGGAATATATGGCCATAAGAATGGCTACCTTTAAAGCTCTTATTGCCAAGGTTGCACCGCCAACTATCCAAATCGAAGGAGTCATAAACACCGAAGACAATAACTTAGGAGAATCCATCAATAAAGAGATATGTTGAGAAGAATTAGTAAAAAAGAGAAGAAGATGTTCCCTTCAAGGTAGAAGCAAAGGTAGATTTGCCTTTTATGATCGCGCTGTAATGGAATAATTAACATTAAGGTAAAAGTTAATTTGTTTGAAGTTACTGAAACAAATTTCATGGTTGAAGATTAAATAGATACAAAGAAAATTGCATTTGCTCATGTAAAATTGCCCTCACATGATTTAGTATGGTAAAAGTAAAAAATTTTAAAACTATGTTCAATTTACTTTAACATGATTAGAGCTTAAAAGGTTGTTAGAAGCTTAATTCTATCTCATTGGACATAGAGAAGAAAAGCAGTTTAGTGACAAATTTTGGAACAGGATAGCAAAAAGAATGTATAAAAATAAAGCATAATTTATAAGGTAATCAATTGCTATAGAATATTCTCTATATGTTGTAAGGCTTTATGAAAGCCTTCTCCCAAAAAGGAAGTTCTTTTAAAATTCTGACATCTATGAAGCTAGCACAAAAGATAAAACAATCAAAATATTAAAAACAAGAGGATATTTCCATTTTTCAAAAAAACCTAGCTTACAATTGTCAAGAAGGATACGACTGAAATTTCAATTATAAATGGGCAAAACAGCAGACCATTGTATCATAACTACATAAAAACCCAATCAGAAGTTTGAATACACTTATAATTCATAACTAAAAAGAGGCCAAGATGAGAGGATAAGAAGAAAATTACCTAGAATACATCAAAACTAGTTCAGATAGATGGAGAAGCAAAGGCAAATCAAACATTATCTTTAATGTTACATGTGCATACCTATGATGGCCTAAGGAAAAATTGTTCCACCATAACATAAAATCTACCATCGACGTTGTCATTTTGAATCTAAATAGTGAAATGAACTTTCTCTTCAGCTTTATCAGGGATATCGATGTCAATCACTACTCAAAATTCAAATACTGACCCTCTGAGTTAGGTTCAAAAGAGTAATGTTTGTCAGCATTCAACAATGTACCCTCAAATTAGCTTTCTCTAGAATTTTTAAACAAGGATAGTATGTGAATTTGTACCATTAGATTTATAACTTGTAAACCTAGGTAGTCCATAGATAGAGATGTCGTCTTCTATAGAAAACAACAGAATTTATGCTTCTAAGAGAAGGGAAGAAAATAAGGAGTCGATAGGCCTATCATTCCACCTTCACAAGAGAAAAGGAAGACCGAAAAACTAGAAGGTTTTGAGAAAGGGTCAAGAGCACAGAAAGAGTCATCCCACTTGTCGACCGACAGCTTGTCCACGAGGATGACTGCTGCAGTAAAATCAAAATCTCAAGGCCACAAGGTAAAAAATAAAAAACAAGGCCAAGAGGCAAAAAAAAGATAAATAACTCTCATTTGAAGAAGTAAATAAGCTAAAATGGAAGGCTTTAATCAAGATATAATTGAAAGAATTATTTGAATTATTAAAATCACAGTGTTTGACAAAAAAATTAAGTCATCAGAAGTTTACAAGTAAAGATAGAACATTGATTTAATTACTGAGGACCAAAATTAGGAGGAAACAAAATTGATCCGATGGATGGCAATAAGGATAGCTGGATGATTTTCGAACGTAGTTTTGAGTAAGTTTGTTATCTTTTAATTCAAATCTGAATTTTCTTCCTTTGTAAAGTTAGTTAGTAAGATAAGGATTATTCCAAATTTGTAGAGCTAGAAATAAAGTTCTTCTTTACTTGATGGAATTAGTTAAAAAAAAAGAAAATATTGAACTCAAACGAAATCAAGTTATTATTTGCAATGATAATTCAAGCAATCCCAAAATATTTCCTCTTCGCTTCCTGTTTAGGCACTATAAAACTACAAGCATAGATGCAAATTGAGGGTACTATAGGAATTTTTGGTTAATGAAACATACAAATAGAAGGCAAAAATGAGAGAGGAGTTCCTTGCAGCATGAAAACTTTATTGATTCGCTTAATGGGGAATCTGATTAACATGTTAAAAAAATTGCATCTGATCATCTTATCCTACAAAAATTCTTGCAGATTCCAAAGAGCTTCGTGCATTCAATTTTAGACGGAATTCAAAGATTCAAAACTTTAATTTCAATTTAGTCGGTCTCATTTCAAGTAAGAAACGGAACATCAATACAAAAAAAAGAGTTGTTCAATCAGACTTTCTAATGAAAATTAAAAACTATTAAATAGTATTATGCAGCAGATATGAAGCTAAAGATAAGCTAAAAATACATTATGAATTCAAAATTTTTTCAAAAAATTAACTTTTCACCATTATTATGAATGTTCCAATTAATCCGAAAAGTAAAGTGAAGCACTGTAACTTGACAATTTGTGGTCAACAAATGTAATTAAGGGAAGAAACATTTCTCAAATCTGATTAAATAAAAAAATATCCATAGTTCAGAGATCTATAATGCCAAGCCATATATTTTCTTTTTTTGCAAATATTTTTCTAATTGATCAAGAAACATCTATCTTCTCCGCTATCTTTCCACAAACAACTTCTTTGGTGCAACGGATTTCATTAATGACCCAATTAAACACCCAAAATTAGAGACCTAAAAAAAACTGATGTCAAATATATCTGAATTTGATGCCAAATATATCTGAATTTATCAAAACTAACTTCCCATCTATACAAAAAAAAAAGCCTTTTCATAAAATGTTGTCAATAAAAGGATATCAAATTTATTTTTGCACTATACTTAAAAGCCAAGAGGTGAATATTTGGAAAAAAAAAATCTTTAAAGAGAACAACACAAAGCCTTAGTTATAGAAAGGCCTATATCGTAACAACCACCAAAACAAATCAGAGAAAAATGATAGGAGTTAATTTTATGACAGAAAACTTTTTCAAAGAGATGTTTTTGAAAGAAAATCACGACAGCAGAATTTACAGCCAAATGCTATGTATCATCTCCAAATAGAATGTTATTATAACCATGTTGCAATTGCCGCAATTGTTACTCTCAAACCAATTTTCAACGACAATAAGACTAAGCATTCTATGAAAGAAATCTCTGATGATGATGCAAAAGAAGAGGAGAGAAAGGATCCTCTTGCATTAAATTTTAAAAAAAAATGTTCATTTGGTTTTCCATTATAAATGCTTCAAACTTCGCACACTTGTGTTGGGGGCCTAAGGAGGTTCTTCCCTTAAGAGTATTAAAAATGACATCTAAATTGACTTTAAATATGATTGAATGCTTCATTTTCTTGAAAGAAGAGTCAAAGATCTTAAGATTAAACAACCAAACAAAATAGATAAAGTTTAAAACTATATTTAAGTGAACATTCTGAAAATCCCACTAAGAAGGCTAATAAGTTAAAAAGATTATCACAAAACCTATTTTCAACATAACACAAACAATAATAATAACTCAAATTAGCAATAGGCATTACTCAACAAAATTTCTTCCAATATTTTCATCAAATTTAAATGAAAAGTGACTAAAATTTCCTGAAAAACTTTAATCTAAAAACCATCTAAGCTAAAATATTTGTTAGAACCCAAAAAAAAAAATCTTTGGTCTCGTCCAAAAATAGAAGAATCCATTTTATAAAAAAACAAGGGAAAGATCATCAAAAGAATAAAGCTTACAAACATAGATGAAGTGCTAGATAGGAGATTCTTTTGTATAATTATTTTTTAGTGGTTAAAGGCAACAAACAACTTTTTTTAATTGATAATGGAATCACCATCAACCCGATTTTTTGTTTGATGAAATTCATTTTTCTACTGCCATTAAAAACTTTACGTTGAAAAGAAACATTTTTACCCCCTTTAAGAAAGCTTTTGAGTTGAGATCTTTTGAGCTAATATTTCATTTCTAGAGTTAATTATAGCCATTTTCTTCTATTTTCATAATCTTCAAGTTCATTAGAGGAAAATAAACATATTTTGGCCATGATTTCAATTTTATTAAGCTTATCAATAGTTCTTTTTCAATGTTTTTTTTTAAGATTTAAGCTGCCTTAAGGTAAGCTTGAGCTTCAAGACAACAATCTTCAACTCACAGCCTTGATTAGAAAAACTATTCCTCCATTAAAAACTCTTTAAAGCCATCTAAATTAAACCAAATATTTTCAAATCTAAAAAACCATATTTGGAAATAAGAGTGGGACAAGAGTTAAAAAAAATAGGGAAAATATGAGAGCGGGGTTTGTTGATAAATTTTTGTCTGCCTTCAGAAAATAAAGCATCGCATAAGAGAAAGAAGGAAGGATCAAATTTAGTAAAAATATTCTCCCTTACCATTGTTTGCCCACGTGTTGGATCTCTCTAACATAGGCGGATCAATAAGAACGGAATGTTGATAAAATAAACGAAAAAATATGATGGCTGCTTAGAGTTGCTAAAAGGTATTCATTCAATAACAAATTATAATTGAAATCATCAAACGTCATCGATTTAGGTGGCCATCAAGAACGAGGTTATAGAGTTCATTCCAAAAATGGACATAATAATATACTTTTTCGATGGTGGAATATGCAACATTGAGAACAAATTTAAAATTTTCAATTTCTTGAGAAGATGCATAGTAATTGAAAAGGTCTCAATCAAGTATAGAACATTAAAAGAACAAGAATTCCATCCTCATAGAATACTACTAGAGCTGAATAATTAATATTGTAGCCACCGATAACTCTTAGATTAATAAGAATTATTGTAAACAAATAACATTAATAATTTTTCTAGATAACCTTCTTTAAGTAATATCCTCTTGATATTAGAACGTAAACCACAAAAATCCAAGTATTAACTTTTAAGATAAAAGCACATAAAATCTAGCAATAGGCAACAAGTTTAAGCTTTCAAGTAAAAGCACGAGTTAAAGATTAGAGAATCTAGTCCAGAAAAGGAGAAAAAAGTTCTTTGCTAAAATCAAATAACAAATCAAAAGTTTTAAGTACCATAAGCTTCCTCGTACACGTACAGTGGATAATTATTTTCCTTCTAGCATAATTTTTCTTTTTTTTTTATGATTAGCATTCCATGAATTACAGGTGAGAGGGAAAAGAAACTCTGAGGAGAGAAAGTATAAACAAATCTTTAATGAAATTGCAAAAATTTGTTTATCCATTAATATTTTGTTCCTAAGAATAGCAACTTTACTATAGTCAAATTTCCAAGGTGCCATGAAAAAAGAAGCAAAGAACAAAGATTTGGCAATGTAGATAGTTCTATTACATCAAAGTTTCAATGCTAAAGGATTGTAGGAACACTCACTAGAGATTATAGAATTAAAAGCCTTGCTAGAAGCAAGATTTTCAATTCGCGAAGGGACCATAAGACGTATAAGGTACATCAATTGGAACACAATCAACCGCGTAGTTAGAAAGAGACAAGCCTGGAGCACTTGGCCGGTACATAGTGGTTGAGAGATTAGTTTTCCAACATGAGGTTGTGGATTTAAATCACACATAATACACTTTTGGCTCACCTTTACCCGAAAAGAAAGGGGAAAAAAAGTGATGGCCAAGAAACCAAATAGAAAATGCTCGGCTGCTCCCTTGAATACAAGAGTTTTTAGAAGAATCTTCCAACAAACAAAAATTTTCAACTGAAAGATCCAAAACAGGAAAAGGAATGCGGACCAATTTCCAGAAAAGCTACATCTAAATCTCTATTCGAAGTGTTATTCTTACATCTACATCTAAATCTCTATTTGAAGTGTTATTCTTACATCTGGTTTATGAAATTAAAAGTGAGAAATTTCAAACATAGGAGTAATGATCTTGCTAATATCCTCTATTATTGTTGATTCGTATACAATCATTGTTGCTGTTTACATCACACCAGTCGAAATTAAATTAAGCAAAAGAAATGGTGAGCATATTACATAACCACGAGGAGCTTCGTAAATTCATTCATGCATAATCAGCACAGATACAACAAAAATAGAAACGAAAACTCACCCGCCAACAAGTAGATGAAGGACGCCAAGAAGACGAGTCCTGAGGGGATGAAGATAACCATCCAATAGAACTCGGCTGCCTCTTTATCAGTCAGAAAGAAGGCGCCGTGGGAAGGATAAAGATCGGAGACTTCCTCCTCGCTCATCCGGAGTGCCTGGATTCTACGGTCGCGGCAAAACGGCCGGCGGGCAGGATCACCGGGGAAAACGATACTCAAGCTAACGGCACGACGACGGCGACTACTATGAAAGCCGCTAGGGCCGACACTAATGGCCGCTGCAGGCGACCCCATGCCTTTTCCTCCTCCCGGAGATTCTCATACTCGTGCTTCGCCATGAACGCTTGACGAAGAGCATCGCCGATGATTGCCATCAAGAGAAGATACCGGTTGGGCTTCGAGGTGTGATTGAACTGGGAGGACTGTTCGAGCCCTAATTTTCGAGTGGTGGAACTGATTTAGGAAGGGATTTTAGAGTTCATTGGATGACGAAAATGGCAAAATTTGGGTTTCAGACAGACGACGCGGAATTGCTCCGGCGTTCAAGAAGCGTAGCGATGAAAGCTGAAAGATCGGCGGAGATTTTGATCGATTTGATGATTCCAGCACTCAACGAAAAGCCGAAATGATAATCTTGGCTTACAGAGGCTATAAGCACAATATTAATTTGTAAAGATAATAAACAGTTGTTCAAGATGAAGAGATGAACCATTCCAGCAGACTAGTCATCACAAACCCTAGATCCTATGTGAGGTCGATTAGACGAGTTCGACATGCTGACGAATGAATTGGGTTGCATTGCTTGTGTGCTCATTTGTTGCATTTCACATGTTGCATATTGATCTTGTTATCATGTTGGTTCGATTGTCATCGCTACTCTATCAACCAATCAGTTTTGGTTTGATTGTCATCCCAGCTCAATCGCCCAATCACTTTGGTTAAATAATCCCGACTTGATCAATCAATCATTATTGGTTTAATCTCCATCCCATCTCGATTAAAGAATTACTTTTGGTTCAATCATCATCTCGATTTGATTGATCAATTCCTATTGATTTGATCTTCATTCTGGCTTGATCGACTTATCATTATTGGTTTGCTTGCCATCCTAGCTTGATCGACCAATCTCTTTCAGTTTGATCATCATCCAAAATCATCCCTCTTGGTTTGATCGTCATCCTGACTCAATCAACCACTCACTTTTGGTTCAATCGTCATCTCGTCTCCATTGACCATTCATTATTGGTTTGATCACCATCTCGGCTTAATCAATTGATCACTATGGTGTGATTGGCTATCGTGGATCAATCGACCGATCATTGATCAGCCATCCCAGTCTAATCCTGTGATTATTTGGGTCTGATCGGCTGCTTTGATCTAATCGTGTGATTACTTATGTTTGATCAGCTGTCACGACCTGATTGTCCCATCACTTTGGTGTGAGTGGTCATTCCGACTTGATCGATCGATCACTTTGGTCTGGTTGGACATTTTTGGCCAACTTTGTTTAATTGGTGCACGCTTGTATGCATTTTTGTATTATGTTGTCTTTTGTATTTGTCTTATATGCTAGCTAGCATTTGACATGTTTGGATGTCTCATTGAGCACCCCTACTTGTGTTATCTCTTTGAGCATCTGCACCTGTTAATATCTCTTTAACATACGTCATTGTATGAACTGGGATAGATTCCTGCACACTTCATGAGGAGGTGGCTCACGTATAAGGCCACCTGTTGCAAAATTATCTTTCACGAGAGTCATGCTACCTCAGTCCATATGACATCTTCTAGGAATGTCATGGTTATTTCATGTTGTGCTTAGTACCAGCCATGCTCTTTAGCCACTGAACTCATGTGAGGCACATAGTGTGTCCTGAGTATTGTGTATCAATCCAACAAGAAAAGTGTAATAATTCTTTCCACAAGAAAATCTCTAGTTTACTAATTTAGTTAGTCTAGCCTAGCATGATCTTAAAGAAAGTTTTAAATCATAAGGTTCTAGCAAAATATAGCAAGGAGAAGAAAACAAAAAGCAAAAACGATGGAAAGACTTATGTGAGTTCCTTCAAAATTTCTGAGGTTCGTGCCTCTATGATTCGGGGATCGTTGCGATCATGATTTTCTTATATGTTTTTCTACGTGATTATTGTAAATTGGTCATACAATAGTCCTTATGTCCATGTCTATATAAAAAGAAGTCTATAATCCTTGAATTTGACGCTTTTTCAATTCCCATGACATTTTGCGTGACTTTTTTGATCCATTTGAATGTTTGTAGAATTCCACAGGAATATGTTTATGTTTTCTCGGTTCTTTTTAAGACTTAGAGTCACTAGCTTATTTATATATATGTTGTTGTATAATTTCCCTATTTGAATAAATCTCTCTCTTGAATCATATCAATGATTCGAATAGGAGAGGATTCGATAAGAATGATATACGACAACAAATAGGCAAACAAATAAAAAAAATGGCAGAAGGCTTATATGTGAGTAATCTTCGTGTGATGGGTTAAGAGTATACGTCCAAATAAGATTGGATCGAAGTACCTTGAAACACAACATCCACGAAGAGAATCTCCACATAAGCCACCCGTAACTAGAGAGCCAAAAAAAATATTTTTGTTCTGAGTTTCTCAGAGTAACGTATCCCTCTGGTTGATTTCATCCTGAGGAATACTCAAAAATACTCTTAATAAAAGGAGTTTCGCTTATATTATAATGAAGCTGGAGAATAGTCCATCAAAGGATGGTTATTTCGTATGGAAATGCCCTGATACTTTCAAAGTTCTCGCCAAGCCACTGAGCAGAAGTGAGTCTCTCACATTTTAGATGGGTAGCGGCTTGTCACCACACGAAGCCTACAAAATAACAAAAATCATCTTATCCGGGATACATATACATCAGAGCTCACTGAGCCATAAGGGCAGAGGGTGTATCACCATATCATAAACGGGCTACGGTTCATCAATAATTGAACCGTCAAGAAGATATCAACGAAGTCAAATGATCAACAGTGCTCAAAAGGGCTCAACAACAGGAAGGATAGAGTAATCTTAAAAGGTAGAGATGGTCGGGTCAGGATACCTTGAACCCGTCATCCCAAGCTACTATGACACCCTAAGTCTATTTGGTCTTGAAGGTAGTCGACCCAACATGTCTAGAGATCCTCGATTAGCAATCTGTGAATTGCATCGTCTACGAGGACCTCGGTAACTCGAAGATCATAAGAAGGAAGCTCTAGTCCTATGAACTTCAAGATGGAGCTCAACAGGTGGAACTCACGCTCCCCATATAAATGAGAGAGTTGCCTCAGGAAAAAAAAAGAATAGGTCCAGCTACAAAGCTGAAAACATTCTCCGTAAAGGAGTTACACTCCGTCTGGGTTAGAGCATCCTCTAAAACCCTAAGCGCACTAGACAATCACTTAAGTAGAAATCTATGCTTGGTCATTCGGGTAAAAGAAGCTCGAGGGCTTCTCCATAGAATATGTAAACATGATGTAGTTATCTACCACAATCATAAGCATGAAGGTCATATTATATGACTTGGCATATATCTATGCATGCAACCTATTTAGAATATAGCATGAAGGCCATTCATAAAAGTAAAAGTGCAAATTTTAAAGTCATGGATATTTTAATCTTAAAATCCTCATTATCTTGAATATTTTATTTTTTTAGAAAATTTAAAAGCTTGGATCCTACATAGCCTATATTGCATTTGTGATTCCTAGACAAACCGCAAACAGAAATAAAGAAATTCATTTCAAGCTTTCAAGCATGTAATAAGGTGGGAAAACAAGCAAATCAAAATAATAAGTGGTCGGTGTCATTGGGTGGGCAACATATCTCATAAAATAAAAATCAGATCGGACTCTACATATACATGCTCGGTCCTAATTTTATACATCAATATCAAATGAGGAATTAAGATATGGGTCATGAGCATCTACTCTTGGTCCCCCGCCACGTGGCTCCAGCGTCAAAATGACTCAAAACCCATGCTCATATCTTATTTCCGCTACAAGTCTCTCCTAAGGACTCTAAAAGTTACATAGGAAAATAAGGGCTTTGGTCCCCTACAAGTCTCTCCTAAGGACTCTAAAAGTTACATAAGAAAATAAGGGCTTTGGGAAAGGAGGTCGGTGACCTGGTTTTCCTCTCGTTGGACATGCTCAATTATAAAACTAGCAAATCGACCCATCTCTATCTTCACATTCCCTAAGTAATTTTTCATAGTCTCATCCTTGATGTCAAATTCTTCGTTGATTTGGTTTACTATCAATTGTGAAGTAGCCTTTACTATTATGTGGAGAACTCCCATCTTCAAGACGAGGCGAAGTCCTACAATCAAAGCTTCATATTTCACTTCGTCATTAGTCAATGAAAATTTTACCTCAATTGAATGATAGAAATTTTCCCCAATGGGGCTATACAAGAAAACTCTAAGTCCAACACCTAATTCGTTGGAGTCTCCATCAATGAGCAGGGTTCAAACTGATTCTTTGATTGCTAGAACTTTGTTTGTGCCCCTCGATTCAGAGATGTTTCTAAGAAAGTGCAACAACATGCACCTTAATTATCATCTGGGGGGTGTAGGAGATGTTAAATTCACTGAGTTTCACAACCCGCTTGAGTAATCAACAAGGGTGGTCCAATCTAGTGAGTAAAGACTTTAATGGGTGGTCGGTGACGCCCTGTATGAGGTGTAACTGAAAATATGGTCGGATCCTTCATACATAAATGACCAAGGCAAAGGTTAGTTTCTTTATTATTGGATATCGATGTTCAGCGCCTTTGAGGAGCTGGCTAGTGTAGCACACCGGGTGTTGTTTTTTTATTTCTTCTCTGAACAAGACCAAACTGATAGCTTTAAAGTTGACTCTAATATAAAGGAAAAGTTTTTTCTTTGGCTTTGGGCTCTGCAGAAGAGGAGAGGATGTGAGAAATTACTTGAGTTTCTTAAAGGCCTTCTAGCCCTCGTGTGTGCACTCGAAGCATTTGATTTTTCTAAGAACTTTAAAGAACTAGGCACACTTATTACTTGAATTCATGTTTCTATGGGGGACATGTCAAGGAGCGACTGGATCTTTTATGGGTTAGTATTTATGCCAACAGGGGATAGCAAGTATCCCAGAAATTTACCTGTCATGGCCCTAAATATACATTTCAGTTAGTTTAATTTCAAGCTAGAATCTTTAAAGTTTCTTTTATATATTCAATGTGTTTCTTGGCCGACCGACTTTCAACCAACACATTATTGACATACACCTCAATGTTTCTTCCTTTTTTATTAATAAAAAGTACACACATGCAGCGTTGATAAGTTGCCCCCCTCGTCCATTCTTGAGCTTGAAGAGCATTACATTGTAACATTAAACTCCCTAACAAGTGATTAAAGCAGTTTTTTGTGCGTTAACGGGATGAATTTTGATATGGTGATACTGGAGAACGCGTAGAGGAAACTAACGACCCAGTGGCTGACTGTTGAATTTACCAAAGTATCGATTCTTGGTAGAGGGTAGGCGTCCTTCAGGAAGGCAGATTTCAGGTTGGTGAAGTCTACACACATCATTTATTTTTTGTTTACCTTCTACAGCATCACTGCATTAGAGACCTAGGTAGGGTACTGTACTTCCAAATGTACCATGTCTCTTCTA